AAAGCTGAAACTAGGATCCAGATGCTGGCTGGCTGACTCCAAAGCCCACGCTTTCCCCCACTGCATTACTCTATGGCACTTGGGAGTATTGTGAATGTACTCACCTACAGCTGAGGGGTGTTCTAGTGATGAATGAAAGATACGTAGTATGGTCAGAGATTATGGAAAGCTTTGAAAACCGGATAAGGAACCAGTGAAATTTTTTATTAAAAATTTTTTTTCTTAGTTACAATAAAGTGTTCTTGTACATAATAATTAGCCTATTCCTGTCTAATAGTTATACATATTAAATGAAATAAATAGTCTGTGAAAGAAAGCACTTAACAGAATGCCTTGGGCGTGTAATAGTCACTCAAAAAATGTGAGTTGAATCTGAATCCTTTAAAGAACTTGTAAGCTCTTTGCACAGTAGATAAGATATGAGAAAGAAATGCTCCAACAGTGCTGGCCAATAGAAACTTGAAATTTTCTAGTAGCCACATGAAAAATGAGACAAGGTGAAATTAATTTTAATAATGTATTTTCTTAAACTCAGTGTATATTAATAGGATATTTTATATTTTGGGGTACAAAGTTCTCGAAATCCATTGTGTGTTTTACACTTGCAGCACATCCCCATTCTGTCTAGCCACATTTTGTGTGCTGTCGATAGGCACATGTGGCTACCACACTGAACACCACAGCCCCATTGTCTCACAGCATGGAATCTGGTGTCAGATGAGCTGGGTTTGAATCTTGTCATTCCATTTCTTAACTATGTGGGTATGGACCAGTTATGCAACTTTTCTGCTCTTTAGCTTTTTTTATATATGTAAATTTTTTAAAAATTGCCTACCTTAAAGGATTATTGTGAGGATTACGAGATAATGTATGTGAAGCACGTAATTTGGTTTCTGACAAGTAGTAAGTGCAAAATAAGTGTTTATTAATCACACTTTTATTGTCATTAGATAACAAGCATCTCGTAGTTTCCATGTCTTCTTCCTGCAAATAGTTGATTATCTGCAGCCAAAGGTTCTCACTTAAAATTGTAAACCATTCAGTAAATAGCAAAGAATGATGAGCTGGGAGAAGAAAGTTTATGAGTGGTATATATGCATGGCATTAGACTCTCCTACTGCTACTGGTATTTCCTAGGGTTCAGATTAATTATTTTCAGTTTGCTGTTGTGCTTAACAGACTTCTCAGATCTTTTGACTTTTGAGTCATTATAGGTGCTTCCTCTATCAGGAAATAAAATTCACATCTAATAATAATTCACAGCTTGACTGCCAACATTGAATTACAGAAAGTTTTTTTTTTTGTCTTTTCTCCTCTCAGCCATTTGGGGCCAAGATATGTAGATATATTGGTTTTTTTCTTTCCTTCTATTTAAAATCCTTAGAGGAACAGTACACAAAACAAAAAAGTACAGTGATTTATCACATCTTCTTGTCTATTATATAGATTAAAAAATGAAGCATTGCTAACTCCCTAAAAGATTATTTTGTACCTGCTCCCAGTCAATACCCTTACTGCCTACCCCCCATATTAACCGCTGTCCTGGTGTTCTTGCTAATTCCTGGTTTTTCTTTATAGTTTTACCAACTAAGTGAATAGTCCTGATCACTGTAGTTTAGTTTTGCCTGCTTTTAAATTTGATGTGAATGAAATCATACATACAATTTTTCACTCAGCGTATCATGAGGTTTGTTCATATTCCTGGACATAGCAACAGTTTATTCAGTTTTACTGTTGTACAGTATTTCGTTGTATGAATATACCACACTTTGTGTATTCTGTGGTAGATGGACAATTGTTTTCTTTCTAGTTTGGAGCTACTATAACCAGTGCTATTATGAACATTCTTATGCACGTAAGCATGCATTTCTGTAAAACACACCAGAGGAATAGAATTGCAAGGTCATAAGAATGCGGTCTTGAACTTTCGTAGATAACGCCAAACTTTCCACAGTGGTTTTTACCAATTGACATTTTTACCAGTGATGTGTGAGAATTTCCATTGCTGCACACTCTTTAAAAAATGGCCATTTTCCCCCAATTTGATCATTCTGGTAGGTGTGTAATGGTATCTCATTGTGGTTTTAGCATTATTTTTTTCCTGCTAAGAAAAATTTGTTAGCAATTTCTGGAAATATTGACTAAGATAAAGCCTTTGGATTTCAATTGGCTGTGCTGTCCATGTCTTTGAATAATAATCAAGAGTTGATAATACTTTTAGAAAGAGTATTTTAAATTTTAATTGGGTGCATGAAAGCAGTTAATTTGAGATATTGTCCAGTATTCTTTCTTTATACTTACTGGCTTATCTAAAAAACAGATGGTATTATTTCTCTTCTTAATTCTTAAGCTGCCATTCCAGGAATCATAACAATTACTGAAATGAGAGGCATGGTCTTTCGCTTATAAAGTTGGGTTTAATGAATAAAACTTTCCAGTTCCTCCAAGCTGTTTTTCTTTGTTAGTTTTTTTTTTTAAGTTAAGTACAAGCAGGGTAACTGATCTAGATGACATTGAATGACTGATTCCTGTTGAATGAAGTAAAACAGACTTTTAACAGCTCATGTGTAATGTCTGAAAGGTAAAGAGACCCAAGATAAATGTCTGTGTTCCACTCTGAAAATAGCAAAAGGCATATGGAACCTAGATTTAACTTAATTCACTTGTAACTTACCCCACTTTAAATGTGCTTTGACATAATGAAAACTGTACTATCATTTCTTTTTTGCAGGATTAATACTAATAATGGAATATAATTAAGAAGATAAGAGCTTGAAAGTTGTAAATGTTGATTCAATTCTGTAGTTAATTGATCTGTCAAAGTTTGTATATATGCATTTTTGAAAATCATGTATGTGCTGAAAAGAGAATACTGCAAATTTTTCTGGATAATTCAGTATCCCAAAATACCAGTTTTATAACTATTTATAAGTGTAAAAGTTATGTTGATCTTAAGTTTGATGAAAAAATTTAAATTTCTAAAGGAACATGTCCTTTTGAAAATAATTTAACCTCAGATTTTGTTCTATTAATAATCATTTAGTAGTAGGATTTTAAACTGACAAGTTAGTTACTTTAAAAGGATTGATGTAAGCTTTATTTGAAAAAAATTATAATTTAATGTTGAAAGATGTGTGCTTAAAATGTCAACTATGGTCCCACCAAATGTAAAGTAGAAAAATATATGCTATGTGTATGGTTTTGTTTTTTTGTTTTTTAAAGAAGCAACAATGCAGTTTATTTTTGTGTGTCAGGAACTATCTCACAGACATTGCTGTTAAAACCACATTATCACTTTAGTGTGGAATTCTTTAGAAGCACTGGCGAAGTCAGCTCTGGAAATTGGATGCACTGAATGGGTGGATGCCATCAATGGCAAAATTCTAGAAGTCAGCCAGACCTGCCCTTGGGGTTGTCGCTAGTCTCTAGTCTTTGATTTCTAACTTTTGGCTCTTACAAACCCATTCTTTGCATTTCTGAAATCAAGAATGGCCTGAGAAATCTCTTCATCTGTGTTCATCACAAATGGACCATGTTGAACAACTGATTCTATTAATGGCTCCCCAGCAACTAGGATGAAGTAGCTTCTCTTGGGATCCAGCATTTGGGAGGAATTTTGTCTTTTGAAGAAGGCGATGTTCTGTCAAAGTTCAGCAGGTGTTTTTAAGAATGGGTGGGTCCATGGACGTCTCTCTTGGTGTATTCATGGGAGAGGGTGAGCTAATAGTATCCTTCTACTCCACCATCTTGGCTGCTCTTGTATGGTTATTTTTATACTTAATACGAATGAGCTTTGTACCAGTTCATACCTCTGCTTGGCTTAGAGCTTGGAATATAAATTGGTTGCAAAACTTGTGAGTTTCAACTAAATTAATGGTTAGGATTTTTAAAAACTTTACACTTCTTGTAGAGAATCACAAAATGTCTGTTTTCTGGTAGTTGAATTTTTTAAACAGGACTTGGTATACTTCTGGTAAAAATAATGAAGTTTATTTTGGAAAAAATGATGGAATAGAAATCTGAATGAATGAAAGCAAAAAAAATTTCTGGTGTCTTTTTAAAGAAAGTACAGTATCTGACAAATTTAGCAGATTGAGAATCAAAACAAAAATCTGTATGTATTTTGTCCTTTGCTTTTTCATACTTGTGATAAGATTTGGAGAATATCATTTGTTTGCTACAATGCAGTCACAGCTATAAGCAAATACTCAATTTTTGAAAATTTAATGTTAACAGTTAGATCCCTGATGGTGGTATGTGAAGATACTGACATCCACATTCAGAATACTGCGTGCTGTTAATAGGTATCCTGTCTTGGTAGGGTCAGATTAACCATTTGCAAATGCATTTAAACTTTTTCAGCCTTTTAAAATCATTGGGGCAGTTATATTTGACTGTCAGGTAAGCAGAATGAACATGAGGAACCTAAACCTGATCATTTGGGGCCTTTCAGTGTTTTAAAGTAGGTCTTAAAGACCAAAGAAATCAGGTCTTTTTGAATTATGTTAATTGATCTGTTTATCACAGGTGACTGGCCAGACATGTTATGCTAATGATTCATCCAATTTGAATGAACCTACCAGTTCTCCCAATTTGGGCAAGGCCACTTGCAACTTAAATTGCTCTGTTTCAGGCTATCTTTGGTATATACTGATTTTACCATGTATAATTCAACTCCGTTATTATATATCAGCTTAAATTATATTATACTCAAAAGTTTTTAAAATCTGAAATAGTTAATCCCTTTTTAAAATAAAAATGTCTTCTTTACAGCATTTTCTCCTTGGCTTGGCAGTGTTCAGAATCAGTTTGAATCACTTTGAGAGTCTTGTCAGATTATATCCCATTGATTTGTATTGTTTTCCTTTTAGATTCCAGTATCCTAAATAGAGACTGAAGTAAAAAAAAAAGAAAAGAAAAAGAAAAACGAGCTATAGAATATGAAATATGGCAATGACAAGGAATGTCAGTTTCTAAACTTTCCATCTTTTACTTTTAAGATAAAGATACAGATATCACCATGAAGGGGAACGTGGATGACTTTGGCCTGCGGGACACCTTGAGTGTTGCATCAACCGATTCTTTTGCTTCAGCAGCAGAGGTAGGACATGTATGTTCCTAATGAGGATTCCTTATTCTTTCTCAGCTGGGGAATACAGTTTTGCCGTTGTGCAGTAATTCAATTCAGTAGCCATTTATTTAGTATCTACTATGTGGTAGATACCAGGATACAAAGATGAATGTACCATGAATGTAAGTTCCCACAGGAACTTGGAGTCTCTTTAGAGAGGTGGACATGTAAACACAGACTTTAGGTGGGCACTCTCATATACTGTGGACTATGCGTGAAGCATTTAAGTGTCTTAATGGAAAACAGTTCACTTTATATCAGGAGTCTTACAAATATCCAGATTGTTTAGCTCAGAAATCATACTTCTAGGTATTTTTTCCAAGTGATGAGATTCAAAGATTTATATATAAAAACATTCACTGTGATGTTTTTAATTAAAATGAAAAACTGGAAACAATCTTATGTCAAGTTATGGAACATCCGTAACTTGAAATATTATAGTGCCATAAACATGTTTCCAATAATTTTTAATGACATGGGAACGTATATTAAGGGAAAAGAGTAGTTCGTAAAGCTTTATAAAGAGTGTGATTGTAATTTTGTATTAAGAAAAATATGCTATGTGGTATATTATGTAAATGTTTAGGCTGAGGGAAAAAAGGCTAGATATAAATACACTAATGTGCAAGCAGTGGGGATCGCTGAATGATGGATTTGTGGATCATTTGTTTTCTCCTGAAATTGAAATGTTGTATCCAAAAGAACTGCTTGCAAAGTAGTCATCTTTTCATAATGTTTTCTACTTGAAACAACTTTCAAAATCACATATGGCCAATTTTATCTTAGAATTATTTCATTTTTATGTAGATTTTGTATATTAATGCTGCCCTCTTTCATATAAATAGTATCACACATCTGTAACTGATGTGTAAATTCACACTCTACTGTGGAAAGCTTTAGGTATTCCAACACCCTGTACCCTAAGCCTTGAGTCTACATTTTTTAAAGCTGTACTGATCATAATTTTCCATCCTCTCAGGATTTTTCTGTATATTTTAGCTATTGCTTACAGTATCCTCTCCTGAATTGTTTATATTTTTCCTTATATTTTAATACTTGTAAGTTTGCAACACATAGAATATATCTACTTGTTTTATTGAAAAGCTGTTTCCTCTTCTTTCTACTATTTGATATAGACAGGCTTATCTTTCTGTTCTTTTTTCCCCCAGCTTTATTGAGATATAATTGACATATAACATTGTGTAAGTTTAGGGTATACAAAGTGATGATTTGATACAGATATATTATGAAATAATTACCACAATAAGATTAGTTAAAACTTCTGTCACCTCACATGATTACCTCTTTTTTTCTTTTTTGGTACAAACATTTAAGTTTTACTCTCTTGGCAACTTTCAAGCATATAATATAGTACTGCTAACTCTAGTTTCCATGCTGTATATTAGATCCCCAGAACTTACTCATCTTCTAACTGGAAGTTTGTATCCTTTGACCAGCATCTCCCCATCTCCCCCACCCCCACCCCAGGCCACCAAGATTCAACCACTATTCTACTCTCTATTTCTGTGGGTTTGGCATTTTGAGATGCCACATTTGATGCCATACAGTACAGTTGAGCCTTGAACAACATGAGTTTGAACTGTGCAGGTCCACTTATATGTGGATTTTTAAAAATAAATACATACTACATTATCTGCACTTGGTTGAATCTGAGGATGTGGAACTGTGAATGCTAAGCGCCAACTATGGGACTTGAGCATCTGAGGATTTTTGTATCCCAGCAGGTCTTGGACCCAATCTCCTGAGGAAACTGAGAGATGACTATTTTCAACTGCACAGGGGTCGGCCACCTTAACCCCCATGTTGTTCAAGGGTGAACTGTATTTGTCTTTCTCTGACTTACTTCACTTAACATAATGCCTTCAAAGTCCTGTGCAGTCCGTATTGTCGCAGGTGGCAGGATTTCCTTCTTTCTCATGGGTGAATGATACTCCATTGTGTATGTATAAATACATGTATACCACATCTTCTTTGTCCATCATCCATCCATGGACACTTGAGTTGTTTCCATTTCTTGGCTATTGTGAATAATGCTACGGTGAACATGGGAATGCAGATATCTCAAGGTAGTGATTTCAATTCCTTTTGATATATACCCAGAAGTAGGATTGCTGGGTCATATGGTAGTTCTGTTTTTAATTTTTTGAGAAACTTCCATATTTTTTTCCATAGTAGCTCTACCAATTTAAATCTCCACCATCAGTGCATTAGGGTTTCCTTTTGTCCACATACTCACCAGTGTTTGTTATCTCTAGTCTTTTTGATAATAGCTACTCTAACAGGTGTGATGTGATATCTCATTATAATTTTTGTCTGCATTTCCCTGGTGATTAGTGATGTTGAGCACCTTTTTACGTCCCTGTTGGCCATTTGTGTCTTCTTTGGGAAAATGTCTGTTCAGGTCCTCTGTCCATTTTTCAGTTGGATTTGTCTTTTTTTTTGTTTTTACTTTTGAGTTATGTGGGTTCCTCATATATTTTAGATACTAACCCCTTATCAGATAGATGGTTTGCAAATATTTTTTCCCTTCTTGTATGTTGCTTTTTCATTTTGTTGATTGTTTCTTTTGCTGTACAGAAGCTTTTTAGTTTAATTCAGTCCCATTTGTTTATTTTTGCCTTGTGGCTTGTGCTTTTGGTGTCATATCCAAAAAAATGTTGTCAAGACAGATGTCAAGGAGCTTTTTCTCCCTATATTTTCTTTCAGGAGTTTTATGATTTCAAGTCTTATGGTTAAGTCTTTAATCCATTTTGAATTGATTATTGTGAGTGTTACAAAATAGAGATCCAGTTTCATTCTTCTGCATATGGTTATGCAGTTTTCCTACTACCATTTATTAAAGAGACTGTCCATTCCCCTCTGAGTAATCTTGGCCCCTTGTCAGATACTGGTTGACCGTTTATACCCAAGAGTTTATTTCTGGTCTCTTGACTCTCTTCTATCGGTCTATGTCTTTTGTGATTACTTTGGCTTTGTATTAGTGTGTGAATTCAGGAAGTGTGACCTCTAGTTTTGTTCTTTCTCAGGATTGCTTTGGTTTATTTGGGGTCTTTTGTGATTCCATACAAATTTTAGGATTTTTGTTTGTTTGTTTCTATGAAAAATGCCATTGGAATTTTGAATCTAGATTCATTGCAGTGAATCTAAAGATGGCTCTAGGTAGTATGGACATTTTAACAATATTAATTTTTTTGATTCATGAACATGGATATCTTTTTTTAAAAGCACTAATTATTATCATTATTATTTTTTTTTTTAATGGAAGTACTGGGGATTGAACCCAGGACCTTGCACATGCTAAGCTGCAATGCACTCTGCTACTGAGCTATATACCCTCCCTGCATCACAGATATCTTTTCATTTATTTGTGTCTACTTCAGTTTCTTCATCAGTCTTATAGTTTTCACTATACAGATTTTTCGTGTCCTTGGTTAAATTTATTCTGAAGTATTTTATTATTTTCATGCTGTTGTAAATGAGAGTTTTCTTAATTTCTCTTGTTTTTGATAGTTTGCTTTAGTGTATAGAAATGGAACTGACTTTTGTGCCTGCAACTTTACTGAATTTATTTATTAGTTTTAATGGTTTTTGGGAGAATCTTTAGGACTTTCTGTATGTAAGATCATATCATGTACAAACACAGTTTTACTTCTTTCTTTCTGATTTGGATGCTTTTTTTTGGTTTATTTTTCTTGCCTAATTGCTCTGGCTAGGATTGCTAATTCTATGTTAAATAGGAGTGATGAGAGTGGACACCCTTGTCTTGTTCCTGATCTTAGAAAGCTTTCAACCTTTCACTTTTGAGTATGATGTTAGCTATGGCTTGTGATATATGGCCTTTGTTATGTTGAGGTACATTCCTTCTATACCAATTTGTTGAGAGTTTTTATCATAAAAAGATGTTGTATTTTGTCAAAAGCTTTTTATCTTTCTTTCTGTAGACACTTAGTCCTAAATGGTTTGTAAGGAGAATTGCTAGTCACTTTGCATTTTTTCCACTGTGAAGAAAAGTGTATGTATTGC